AAACTCTGGCTCTCTCCTCTTCCTGTGTATCCAAAATATCAACTGATTCCAGGTTTAGATCCAGTGCGGATAACCAATCTAGGCCATTCCACCACAGTGAATTATTTAACAGTTCCGGGACATGTAAATCTCTTGAGACACAATCTGCCGGGTTTGTATCAGTCGCATGAGCCCATTGCTTGTCATCTAAAATGTTTAGTATATCAGACACTATGTTACTCACAAATGTGTTCCATCGACTTGACCCACCATTCAGCCAAGCTAAAACTATGGTTGAGTCTGTCCACGCGTATAAATTTTCCTTGGGTATGCTCATCACTTGAGATGTCTCAAATATCAATTTGGCTGCTTATGCCGCACCACAAAGTTCCAATCTAGGTATTAAAATTTGTTTGTCGATGGGAGCGACCTTTGTCTTTGCTGATATTAAGCTCACGTACACCTTACTATCTTCAACAACTCGAATATATACTGCTGCTCCATATGCTGCCTGCGATGCGTCTGCGAAGACATGCAACTCTATTTTAGATGCCTAAGAACAGCTTAACCACCTTGGTTTACTGACATTTTTAATGTGAATCAAATTCGCTCTGAACTGTAACTATTCTGCCAACAACTCTCCTCTTATAGTATCATCCCATTCTAGTCCCATTTTCCATAATTTTTGTATCATCATTTTTGCTATGACAACAACCGGAGCTATCCACCTTAGCGGGTCATATAATTTGGCTACATCAGAAAGTATTCTACGTTTCGTAACATGTTCTTTTAATTCTGGTAAGTTAAGTGAATATACAAAACTGACTGCTTCTCTATTTCAGCTAACTCCTAGTACTTTTACCAAACTGTTGACTTTAAGCGGAACTTCATGATCATCTCGTTTGTTTTCACCGATATATTTCAACACGGTCTCATCATTACTACTCCACTTTTGTAATTCGAAGCCTCCTAAGTTCAGCAGTTTATTCATATCAGTGTAGATACATAGAGAAACGCGACGTCAACGTGAGATAAACGCGACGTCAACGTGAGATATTTGACCGGGCCTAATGAGCTAATTGAGCAGATGTGGTTATCGACTCGTGTCAATGGTTATTGTGTTGCTATAGGGACTGCGTACAGACCACAATGGATCAATATAGATGTATTCATAGATGCCATAACGGATTCCATTAATTATTTTTCAAAGTATGATTTTATTGTATTGTTGGGAGATTTTAACATTAACATGCTTGCGGGAAGTAATAGTAATACTGTCAAACTGACTCAATTCCTTGACTACATGAACCTCCGTCAACTTGTCAGTGAGCCGACTCATTACACTTCGTATACTGAGACTCTGATAGATCTTGTATGTACTAACGCACCAGTTCGCTATGTCACTGTTAATAATATAATTGGTTCCAATGGACACGCAATGGTTAATGTTACTCTGTCATTAAAAAAGGTTATAAATCCCAACTAGAACTTTTAGTTTCAGGCCCATTAATAAAATAAATTTAAATGCATTTAATAATGATTTATATGCAATCAATTGAGACGATGTAACTTGTTATAGATTTATAATGTCAAAGGCAACACTAGTTGTTGTCTCTATTTTTTGTTTATGGTTATCTGCCAGAAAAATAAAAATCCTTTTTGTTATAACACGTGGTTGTATTAATTAATTCTTTTTTCCCGTGTCTAAAGTAAAATATAACAATTGGCGACGAGGATGAACCAAAACGAGTGAAATTAATTAGTTTGTTTTTTACCAATTCCTACACCAGATTAGGAAATAAAGCTTAACGCAAAGACAAACGTGTAACATAACCTACAAGTGGAATGAATGTTTTTACCATTACATGGATCTAATCGAATATTTCATTAAACAAGGAAAAAAATCTTGGATACAAGAAAAAACTAAAGAAGAATTAATAGAAATTGCTAATATATTAGCAAAAGAAACAAAATTCTTGGACACACATACCATCAAAGACGTTCGAAAATACTTACGTGAATACGTTGATAAACAAAAAGAAAAAATTCGTACAGTCCGCTTAATCACTAGTCCTAGTTCTATTAGCACAATGAATTCTATCACTACTTTGGAAGTTTTCACCGGTGAAAATTGGAATGCGTACCAGCAACAATTTGAATATTTCATAGTTCTAAACGACATCCCAGAGGAAAAGAAGGTCCCATTACTTATAACAAAACTTAGCACAAACGTTTATGATTTATTGACCACATTATGCACACCCATATCGCCGGTTACCGACACATATAATAATATTTGCGAAAAACTGAGAAAATACTATCACCCATTAAAAAATTATGCCCTTTATCAAGCAGAATTTCGAAGCAGATGTCAAAAACCTAATGAAACAATAGATCAGTATATTATGGAATTAAAGAGACTGTCTAAATATTGCAATTTCAAAAATTTTAATGAAGAAATAAAGGAAAGATTACTAAATGGTACTTATTGTGATTCAGTTAAATTTGAACTGTTGAAACAAGCCGATCAGCCATTAGAAAGTTTAATTAACATTGGAAAAACTGTGGAGACAGCATATAAGTTGGTTTTTAATAATGAAAAAGAGCAGGAAATATCACAAATGTTTAAAATACAAGGCAAATATTTTAACGGAAACCATAGTGTTATAGCTAGGCAAAATGTAAACCCAGCCATCCAGCAGAGTATCACATGTTTTTGTTGTGGTAAAAATGGACACATTAAAGCACTTTGTACCCTACGAGAAAAATTTTGCAGTGAATGTGGTGTAAAAGGCCATATATTTAAAGTGTGTAGAAAAAATAAGAAAATAAAAGTAAAAAATTTAAATGTAGTGCAAAAATTTAATTCAGAAATTAGTGATGTAAATTCGGATAAAAACCTCCCCATTAAAGACATTGAAAACTTCGATATCTTCTGTTTTAGTAATACAGGAAAAGTTCCATCAACTACTTTAAAGATCTTTGTAAATGGAAAGGTACTAGAGTTTGAGGTTGACACTGGGGCTGATGTAAGTACTATTACTTTACTCGATAAAAACAAGTTATTCCCGGAGCTAGAAATAAAAAAATGTAATGTTCTTTTTACTAATTTTGACCAGTCTACTTCTACGCCTTTAGGAATTATAGAAAACTTGAGTATAAGTTATGGATCTATTAAAGTTAATAATCAGAAATTATTTGTTGTAAAAGATGGATTGCCCAAGGTTATAGGTAAAGATTGGCTTTCTTCACTTCAATTGTGGCCCCCAAAGTTTGAACAAAGGGTTTGTGAAAAAGCGTCAAAAAATAAATTAATACAAAACATATTTGAAAAGTTCAGCAATCTTTTTGAGCCAGGTATGGGGGTTTTTCGAGGAGAACCAATTCATTTATTAATTGAACCAGGTGTTAAACCAGTATTTATGCCTGTCAGAACTGTTCCATTTGCTCTAAAAGATAAAGTTAAAGAGGAAATAAATAGATTGATCAAAAATAAACGTATAGAGCCAGTTGAGTATTCTGAGTGGGGGACACCAGTTGTTCCAGTTTTAAAACCAGATGGAACGGTTCGTTTATGCGGTGACTATCATATAACAATAAATAAGCATTTAAAGATAGACCATTATCCATTACCAACAATTGATAATATTTTGATGAAATTACAGGATAACAACTACTTTTGTGAATTAGATTTACAAGAGGCTTACTTACAAGCCCCATTAGATAAAGAATCCCAAAAATTAGTAACAATTGTTACTGAAGAAGGTATCTTTAGGTGTTTATTTTTACCTTATGGTGTGAGTACTGGTCCTGGTTCATTCCAGAGGTTATTAACACAAAAATTGAATGGACTAGATATAATTGTTTATATTGATAACATATATGTTTATGGAAAGACGTTGAAAGATACATATGAAATCATAATTCTTGTTCTACAAAGATTAAAAGATTCAGGATTAAAATTAAAAAAGAATAAATGTAAGTTTTTTGAAAACAAGCTGGATGTTTTTGGATTTCAAGTAAATAATAATTCTGTAAAAATTATAAAAAGTAAAATTGAACCTTTGTTGTCTTTGCCTCGCCCAAGTAATATAAAAATGCTAAAATCATTTTTAGGGAAAGTAAATTATTATAACAGATTTTTACAAAATATGGCAATTATATTAAAACCAATGTATGATTGTCTAAAAAAGGATAAATTTGAGTGGACAGAAGAGTGTGACAAATCATTTAAAGAAATAAAAAATAGTCTGGCAAATACATCTTCATTATCACATTTTGATCAAAATTCAACAATTATATTAACTTGTGATTCTGCAGATTGTGGGGTAGCTGCTGTATTGTCTATAAAAAAACAGTAATAACATAATAAAACTAGTAGCATTTGCAAGTAAAAAATTAAATGATTCTCAAATTAAATACCCAATTTTGGAAAAGGAGGCTTATGCAATAATTTTTGGTGTAAATAAATTTTATGAATATTTATTTGGAAAAAAAAATATTTTACAAACTGATAATGAGGCTCTAACTAAAATATTAGGACCGAAGTATGGAATACCAAAAATGGCAGCAAGGCGATTACAATACTGGTCAATTTTCTTAAGTGGATTTAACTACGAAATTCAACACATAAAATCTAAAAATAACCCTGCTGACTATTTGTCACGTGTAGTTACCACATGTCAAGATGATAATTTTAAAAACTTAGAATTCTTGAAAATAACTATGAATGTAACACAATAAATTATATTCATAAATCAAATTTAAATACATTAAATTGGCAAACTATTCAAAGCGAAACAAAAAAAGATAAAATTATGTGTGATATTCTTAGATACTGTAGAGATGGCTGGCCAGCAAAAAATGATCTTGGTGAAGAATATGAACCATATTTTGTCAGTAAAAAGGAGATCTCAATGGAAAAAGAATGTTTGTTGTGGGGGTATAGGGTAATAATACCTAAAAATATAAGAGATAATGTCATGTGTGAGTTACATGCTAGCTATTTAGGCACCACACGAATGAAAGAAATAGCAAGATCTTATTTTTGGTGGCCAGACATGGATAAGGAAATTGAAATTATAACAAAAAATTGTATTATTTGTTTACAAAACCATAAGAACCCAGAAAAAACCAAATTAACAGTGTGGCCGCAGCCACCTACTGTTTGGCATAGAATACATGCAGATTTTTTGGGCCCTCTTTATTCAAAAATGTTTTTGGTTATTATAGACGCTTACTCTAAATGGCCAGAAGCATATATTATGAATAAAATTACTGCACAAAAAACAATTGAAGTGTTCAAAAGTATTTTTGTAAGGTATGGGTATCCCTTACATCTAGTTACTGATAATGGCCCAACATGGACAAGTGAAGAATTTAAAAATTTTTGTAAAATTGTGGGAGTAAACCAGACTTTTACTCCAACATACTACCCACCCACAAACGGGTTAGCGGAACGTTTTGTGGAGTCTTTCAAATCTCATGTAGTAAAGATTGTAGAGAGTGGCCATACGGTTGAATATGCATGTAATTTATTCCTATTTGATTATAGAAACACTGTACATAAAACTACAGGCAAGAGTCCAGCAAAATTGATGTTTGGCAGAGAGTTGAGATGTCGTTTCTCGTTATTAAGACCAAACCCAGTAGTGGACAAAATTGATACTGAGCAAGTAAAGCTTATAATTAATAGTAAAAATAACTTTAAAACATTCACTACTGGTGAAAAGGTGATGGTGAGAGATCATAGAAAAAATAAAAATAAGTGGTCTTTGGGTAAAATTATTGAAGTTTTAATACCGGGTGTAACTTATATGGTAGAAGTGGATGGACTTTATTGGAAACGACATGTCAATCAATTACTTGAATGTGGAGAGACTATAGAATAAAAAATATTTATTTAGGTTAATACATTATACTGAAATATTAATAAGTAGCATAAAAAGTTTTTTTTTTCTTTTCGGTGTGGGGGGTGAGTGTTATAGATTTATAATGTCAAAGGCAACACTAGTTGTTGTCTCTAGTTTTTGTTTATGGTTATCTGCCAGAAAAATAAAAATCCTTTTTGTTATAACACGTGGTTGTATTAATTAATTCTTTTTTTTCCGTGTCTAAAGTAAAATATAACAGTTACCTTCAGTAGATATGATGGTGGAAAAGTTTAATTCAATGATTCTCTCTCTCTTTGATAAACATGCAGCAGTGAAAACAGTAACTCTAAAAAACAATTATTCACTGCCGTGGGTAACCGATGTCTGCAAAATGATGATCGATGAGCGTAATATTGCTCACGATGTCTATCGAAAATCCGGATCAGACGAACATAAAAAATATTACAAGGAGCTTAAAAGTCTAGTTTTAAAAGTATTTCAGAAGAAAAACGGGCCTACTTCAATAGCTTAGTTAATTCTCAAGCTAAAAATAGCAAAACGTTTTGGAAAAATTTGAAGGAAAAAATTTTGGTTGACCCCTCGAAAGACAAATCCTTGCCTTACCATTTCAATGACCCAAACAAAATTAATGATCACTTTTTGAATATTCCGGGAGACAACGTAGTCTCCAATGCAGACATGCTATTTTTTGAACATAATAAATTCAATACAGAGGTATTTAAATTAGCTCCCGTAGGTGCAACAGATATTTCTAAATATATAATGTCCATAAAATCGAATGCTGTTGGACACGATGGAATTAACAGAGATATGATCTTACTCTCTCTTCCTTGCACTCTGAATGCAATCACGGCTATAATTAATAAGTCAATTGTGACTGGTATAGTTCCTAATAAGTGGAAGGAGGCACTAGTGACCCCAATACCCAAAAATGAAAACCCAGTCGAGTTAAAAGATCTCAGGCCCATCAGCATTTTGCCATTCCTTGCTAAACTGCTGGAGAAAGCTATTTGCGAACAGTTAACTAAATTTGTTGAAGTGACTAACATCTTGCCTCATTTACAATCTGGGTTTTGCAAAGGATGTGGCACAGCGACTGCTTTAGTCGATGTCACAGACAACATATTAGCTGAACAAGATTCCGGTCACAGTACGATTTTAACGCTATTAGACTATTCCCGCGCTTTCGACTGCCTAAATATTCCCCTGCTGCTTGCTAAGCTGTCATATTATGGTTTAGACAAAAATTCGGTCAAGTGGTTTAGTAGTTACTTGATTAATCGGTGCCAGTCAGTAAAATTGGTAAAGAGTGATGGGTCTACTATACGTTCTCACCCTAGGCTTATTAATCGTGGTGTTCCTCAGGGTTCAATACTTGGTCCACTTCTTTTTTAATTTACTGTGCTGACCTTGTTAAAGTTATAAAATATTCTATGTACCACTGTTACGCTGACGATGTGCAAGTATACGTGTCAGCCTCACCAGATAAGTTACCACAAGCTGTGACACGGCTTAATGATGATCTGGACAGGATTGCTGACTGGTCAATGCGGAATGCTCTTGTTTTAAACCCCTCAAAGTCAAAATATATAGTCATGGGCACAAAGGCGCAAATAAGTAGAATTTGTGGTGAGCTAGACGTTAAGATTAAAGGTACACATATATTGTGCGTGGATGAAGCCAAAAACCTTGGTATAACCTTCGACAATAATCTTAGATTTGAAAATCATGTCCTTAATATGGTAAAAAACTGTTTTTATCGTCTAAAGGTATTATACCATATCCGTGACCAACTATCTGTACCGTCGCGCATTACTCTTTGCGAGTCATTAATTTTATCTCGGCTTAACTACGGAGATGTTGTTTATGGACCTCGAATTTTCAGCAAAACAAAGCGACTAATACAGCGCGTGCAAAATGCATGTTGTCGGTTCTGTTTTGATGTCCCCCCCAGAAGTCACATTACTCCTTCCTTTAACACTGCTTCCATGCTCAACATGGACTCACGTAGAGAGCTACATTTAGGAGGGCTTGTTTTTAATGTCATTAAGTTTAAAAAACCAGAGTACCTGCATGTAAAGATAAAATTTGCTAAGCAAAATTCCGGAAAACAATTGAGGTCCATAAGATCAGCACTCCTGTATCACAGCCATAAAACAGCGGCATTTACTGGTAGTTTCCGATATATGGCAACGAAGTGTTGGAATAACATCCCACCACCAATAAGAAATCTTTACACCACTTACAATTTCAAAAATAAATTCAAAACATATCTTCTACATAAACAAAAACAAGGTATTCCCAAACACTTTGTTTGCCAGCTATAAACCACGGTATTTTTTTTTTGTTCCTACTAACTCATCATAGCTGTCTAAGCCTTTTAGGTACTACTTTTAATTTGTACGCAAACTTACACACTTACACGCCCCTACAGTAATTTTACTAAATTAAACCCAGGATGCAAATCGTAGGGCTGAAAGGACACATCTTTCAAATATACATATTTACACTGATTAACTATTGTGCTCATTTTCTTCTCGTCATCTCGAGGGTAATAGCTGAAAATCAGTGTTTTCTCTCTGAGCAATATTAATCGCTGAGCTAGGACCCATTTGTCAAACTGCAACACATATGTACATTTAGATTTTAAGTTTTTGTAAATTATTTTTTTCGTAATATGTTACATTGTACTTAGTTTAGTTACTGAATTTACGTGTGTGATTGGAGAAACAAATAAATGCTTTATCTATCTATCTATCTATCTAGATACTAATAGCTTCATCTTCAGTCTCGCATCCTGATAATAGATAATCCATGTAGAAGTCACTCTTTGTTATTTTAGCAGCAACAGGAAATTTTCATTTCTCCTCATCCGCTAATCTTTGTAGTGATTTCACCGCAAGGTATGGTGCGCATGCTGTACCGAAGGTCAATCTCACAAGTTTGTAGTGTTTAATTTGCTCAGTCGGTGACGATCTCCATAATACTCTTTGAAAATTTGTGTCTTCTTCTGCCAAACGCACCATTCGATACATTTTTATAATATCTGCAGTAATACAGATTTTATGAGTCCTCCATCTCATTAATATGTGACGTAAGTCTTGTTGTAGCTTAGGACCTACAAGTAGTTTATCGTTCAAGGAAACATTATTAGCGTCTTTACACGAAGCGTCGAAAACCACACGAAGCTTCGTAGTGTCTCTATCTTCTCTTACCATGCCGTGGTGAGGAAGATATACCGCTTTAGGATTATTAATATCATCAGAATGCACTTCAACCATATGATCTTAATTGATGTACTTATTCATAACCTTATGGTATCCCTCACGAAACGTATCATTTTTTGCTAATTTCTTTTCTAATAACTCAAACCTTTTAGCAGCTATTTCTTTTATTCCACTATTTTTATACTCTGCGTTTTTTGTTTTAAATGGTAATTTCACCACAAATCTTCCTTCTTCGTCTCTGACTGATGTAGCCTCATAATATTCTTCACAACTTTCTTCTTCCCTTGACAATCTCTTCTGTAAAGTATTTGACTCGTTTTCTAACTCCCAAAATAACTTAAGCATCTCATCTTCTTTATGTTGAACATGCAAGCTTGTGAAATTTTTCTGTGCTGAAATTAATTCTCATGACATATTTGTCGATAAAACCCAACCTATGATTGTATTTTGTGCTAATAAATTACTCACTGGATTTATTTTATTTTTTTATTTTATTTATTAAGGTTTACCAATGTTTGATTACACTGTATTTAACAAAATGGCTTAAGAACTAACTTATGTGACTAAGTGTAACAATCGTTTAAGGTAAACACCACATGCATCCAGAAAGATTATAAATACGAATAAAAAGAAGTATAATTACCTAATAATGAAAATAAGTATATGGTAAAAAAAAAAAATATAATTTATTTGTTGGTTTCAGACCAGGCTGAAGCTAGAACTTTCTTAATTTTGGCAAATGAGTCGGCGTGAATGTCAACTAAGTCACTATGTCCATTGACCAATTTGCACAACCTTGGAATTGGGGAGTTTGCACCTAAGACAGATTTCCTAAAAGGAGGGCAAAGTGGAGTAATGGGAGCGCGAGGAATTCTCAATGGAACACGAAATTTAAATTTTTCGAGGAAGGGTGGGCAGTTAATTTTCTGGTTAAAAATTTTAACAAGAAATGACATGTCAAGCAAATTTCTCCGATTTTCCAGGGATAAAATTTTAAAGAATCTTAATCGTTTTTCGTAAGACCGAATTTTTTTGTGAATCCCATTACGATAGGCCAAATTAGCTACGAACTTTTTTTGTAGACCTTCCAATCGTAAGGAGTGTGTCGCGTAGTGTGGCCTCCATACTACACTGCAATACTCAATTATGCTTCGTACGAGACTGTTGTACAGTAGGATCTTAACGTGATTATTTTTAAACACTTTAGAGTTACGCAAAACAAAGCCTAGCATTCTATACGCCCTTTTTGTAATATTCTCTATGTGGGGAACAAAGGTTAATTTTTTATCGAACACTATTCCCAGGTCTCTAACTTCCTCTGTTTTCTTAATGATGACGCCGTTAATTTTATATGATGAATTCAGTGACTTGATCTTTTTACTGAATTTCATATGGTAGCACTTGTTTATGTTCAGGTTCATACCATTCTCTCGACACCAATTAACCATACGATCAACATCACTTTGAAACCGTTCAATGTCCTCCAGAGTTTCGCAGATGCCAACCAATTTCAAATCATCGGCATACATAAATGGTATAGAGTACTGAAAGCAACTAGGGATGTCATTAATGAATGTATTGAAAAGCAGAGGACCCAAATGTGATCCTTGAGGAACCCCTGACGTAATTTTGTATGGCGCAGACTTAAATCCATTAACGACCACGCTAAAACTACGATTATCCAGATACGATTCTAACCATCCCAATAATGAGCCAGTAATACCATATGCGCGCAATTTAGATATAAGAATATTATGAGGTACTTTGTCG